AAGGACATTACATAATGATAAAGGGCTCAGTCCAACAAGAGGATATAACCATTATAAATATATATGCACCAAACACAGGAGCACCAGCATATGTGAAACAAATACTAACAGAACTAAAAGAGGAGATAGAATGCAATGCATTCATTTTAGGAGACTTCAACTCACCACTCATTCCAAAGGATAGATCCACTGGACAGAAAATAAGGAAGGACACAGAGGCACTGAACAACACAGTAGAACAGATGGACCTAAGACATCTATAGAACTCTACATCCAAAAGCAACAGGATACACATTCTTCTCAAGTGCACATGGAACATTCTCCAGAATAGACCACATACTGGGCCACAAAAAGAGCCTCAGTAAGTTCAGAAAGAATGAAATTCTAACAACCAACTTTTCAGACCACAAAGGAATAAAACTAGAACTAAATTGTACAAAGAAAGCAAAAAGGCCCACAAACACATGGAGGCTTAAAAACATGTTTCTAAGTAATCAATAGATCAACAATCAAATTAAAATAGAGATCAAGCAATGTATGGAAACAAATGACAACAACACAAAGCTCCAACTTCTATGGGATGCAGCAAAAGCAGTCTTAAAAGCAAAGTATATAGCAATTGAGGCATACTTAAAGAAGAAAGAACAATCCCAAATGAACAGTCTAACATCACAATTACTGAAATTGCAAAAAGAAAAACAAATGAGGCCTAAAGTCAGCAGAGGGAGGGACATAATAAAGATCACAGAATAAATAAATAAAATTAAGAATAAAACAATAGAAAAAATCAGTGAAACCAAGAGCTGGTTCATTGAGAAAATAAACAAAATAGATAAGCCTCTAGCCAAACTTATTGAGAGAAAAAGGGAATCAACACACATCAACAGAATCAGAAATGAGAAAGGAAAAATCACAATGGACCCCACAGAAATACAAAGAATTATTAGAGAATACTATGAAAAGCTATATGGTAACAAGCTGGAAAACCAAGAAGAAATGGACAACTTCCTAGAAAAATATAACCTTCCAAGAGTGACCAAGGAAGAAACACAAAATCTAAACAAATTAATTACCAGCAAAGAAATTGAAGTGGTAATCAAAAAACTACCCAAGAAAAAAAACCCCGGGCCGGATGGATTTACCTCGGAATTTCATCAGACATACAGAGAAGGCATAATAACCATTCTCAATAAAGTTTTCCAAAAAATAGAAGAGGAGGGAATACTCACAAACTCATTCTATCAAGCCAACATCACACTAATACCAAAACCAAGCAAAGACCCCACCAAAAAAGAAAATTACAGATCAATATCCCTGATGAACATAGATGCAAAAATATTGAATAAAATATTAGCAAACCGAATTCAAAAATACATCAAAAGGATCATAAACCACGATCAAGTGAGATTCATCTCAGGAATGCAAGGATGGTACAAGATTCGAAAATCCATCAACATCATCCACCACATCAACAAAAAGAAGAACAAAAACCACATGATCATCTCCATAGATGCTGAAAAGGCATTCAAGAAAATTCAACATCCATTCATGATAAATACTCTCAACAAAATGGGTATAGAGAACAAGTACCTCAACATAATAAAGGCCATATATGATGAGCCCACAGCCAACATCATACTGAACAGCGAAAAATGGGAAGCTTTTCTTCTGCAATCAGGAACAAGACAGGGATGCCCACTCTCCTCACTGTTATTCAACATAGTACTGGAGGTCCTAGCCACAGCAATCAGACAAAACAAAGAAATACAAGGAATCCAGACTGATAAAGAAGAAGTTAAACTGTCACTATTTGCAGATGACATGATATTGTATATAAAAAACCCTAAAGACTCACTCCAAAACCACTAGAACTGATATTGGGATTCAGCAAAGTTGTAGGATACAAAATTAACACACAGAAATCTGTGGCTTTCCTATACACTAACAATGAACCAATAGAAAGTGAAATCAGGAAAACAATTCCATTCACAATTGCATCAAAAAGAATAAAATACCTAGGAATAAAACTAACCAAGGAAGTGAAAGACGTATACTCTGCGAACTATAAGACACTCTTGGGAGAAATTAAAGAGGACACTAACAAATGGAAACTCATCCAATGCTCTTGGCTAGGATGAATTAATATCTTCAAAATGGCCATCCTGCCCAAAGCAATATACAGATTTGATACAATCCCTATCAAATTACCAACAGCGTTCTTCAACGAACTGGAACAAATAGTTCAAAAATTCATATGGAAACACCAAAGACCCTGAATAGCCAAAGCAATCCTGAGAAGGAAGAATAAAGTTGGGGGGATCTTGCTCTCCAACTTCAAGCTCTACTACAAAGCCACAGTAATCAAAACAATTTGGTACTGGCACAAGAACAGAGCCACAGACCAGTTGAACAGAATAGAGATTCCAGACATTAACCCAAATATATATGGTCAATTAATATATGATAAAGGAGCCGTGGACATACAATGGGGAAATGACAGTCTCTTCAACAGATGGTGCTGGCAAAACTGGACAGCTACATGTAACAGAATGAAACTGGATCACTGCCTAAACCCATACACAAAAGTATTTGAAATGGATCAAAGACCTGAATGTAAGTCATGAAGCCATAAAACTCCTAGAAAAAAACATAAGCAACAATCTCTTGGACATAAACATGAGCAACTTCTTCATGAACATATCTCCCTGGGCAAGGGAAACAAAAGCAAAAATGAACAAGTGGGACTACATCAAGCTGAAAAGCTTCTGTAAAGCAAAGGACACCATCAATAGAACAAAAAGGTACCCTGCAGTATGGGAGAATATATTCATAAATGACAGATCTGATAAAGGGTTGACACCCAAAATATATAAAGAGCTAATGCAGCTCAACAAACAAAAAGCAAATAATCCAATTAAAAAATGGGCAGAGGAGCTGAACTGACAGTTCCCCAAAGAAGAAATTCAGATGGCCAACAGACACATGAAAAGATGCTCCACATCACTAGTCATTAGAGAAATGCAAATTAAAACCACAATGAGATATCACCTCACACCAGTAAGGATGGCTACCATCCAAAAGACAAACAAAAACAAATGTTGGTGAGGTTGTGAAGAAAGGGGAAACCTCCTACACTGCTGGTGAGAATGTAAATTAGTTCAACCACTATGGAAAGCAGTATAGAGGTTCCTCAAAAAGCTCAAAATAGAAATACCATTTGACCCAGGAATTCCACTTTTAGGAATTTACCTTAAGAATGCAGCACTCCAGTTTGAAAAAGACAGATGTACCCCTATGTTTATCGCAGTACTGTTTAATGGAAAATAGCCAGGAAATGGAAGCAATGTAAGTGTCCATCAGTAGATGAATGGATAAAGAAGATGTGGTACATATACACAATGGAATATTATTCAGCCATAAGAAGAAAACAAATCCTACCATTTGCAACAACATGTATGGAGCTAGAGGGTATTATGCTCAGTGAAATAAGCCAGGTGGAGAAAGACAAATACCAAATGATTTCTCTCATATGTGGAGTATAAGAACAAAGAAAAACTGAAGGAACAAAACAGCAGCAGAATCATAGAACCCAAGAATGGGCTAACAGTTACCAAAGGGAAAGGGACTAGGGAGGATGGGAGGGTAGGAAGGGATAAGGGTGGGAAAAAGAAAGGGGTAATTACGATTAGCATGTAAAATGTGGGTGGGGGGCACAGGGAGGGATGTGCAACACAGAGAAGACAAGTAGTGATTCTATAACATCTTACTACACTAATGGACAGTGACTGTAATGGGGTTTGTGGGAGGGGACTTGGTGAAGGGGGAACCCTAGTAAACATAATGTTCTTCATGTAATTGTAGATTAATGATAACAACAAAAAAAATGTAAAATACAGTATTGGCTTGTGGGCCATAGAAATTGGGCAGAAGGTTGGATACCTGTACCTCTGGGGGAAAATGTTTCCCAGTCAGGGCAAATAAACCACAAAGCACTGAAACCAAAATCAGTGGAGGGAAAAACTAGATGGGGGGAAGGCCTTTTACTGTTTACAAGAAGCCTGGCTCCATTTGCTTTCTGGCCTCCCTCTCTCTTATCGGTTTCACTCTCATTTCTGCTGAGAAGGCCCAAAAAACCTCTCCAGTCCTGGAGCATTTGCCTCTCCACCCACCTTGTAATCACCTATTGATATGGAGACAGATACTTCTCTCCACACCTTGGAAACACCTATTGATATGGAGATAGACAAAGGCAAGGGGAGAGATTCTGGAAATACTGCAATTTTACCCACCATACCCATGGGTTATAGTTGGTGAACACTGTTTAATACTGTATATCTAGTTTTGACCTAAGTCCTGAATTCCACAGCCATATTTTCAGCTTTTTCCTTGATGTGAACACTCCAAAAGCATTTCAGACCAAATTACTTAAAACCTAACTCATGACATATGCCTCATCCAAACTGCTTGTCTGAAATCAACTTTTGCTCATGGAACACTGTGTCCCAGTCATTCAGACCTGAAATTTAAAAATTATCTTAGAATGATTCCCTACCTTTGTCAAGTCCTGTTCTATCTCAATTATGTCTTCAATCTGCAACTTCCACCCTAGCATTTGAGTTCAGGCCTTCCTTATTTAGCCTACATTGTTGCTATGGTGCTACAATTGGTTTCCATGATACTAGTATCCTGTACTCCAATGTATCTAATATAGTGCTGCCAGAATAAGCTTCCTAAAGTGCCACTCTAATTATGTCACTACACTGAACTATTTTAAAACCCTGTGTAACTGTATTGCTTGCCAAATTAAATACAGACTCTTCAACTGTCATTTAAGGCCATCCAAAACATTATCCCAAATATCTTCTAATCTTGTCTCACCTTACACCTTTGTTCATTCACTCAACAAATATGAATGAGCATCTGTTAGGCGCCAAGGCACTGTGCTGGTTAGACAATGGGATAAAATGATGAGCAGAAACTATAGACCTCTGCCTTCATAGAGTTTATTGTCTAATTGTAGAAAAAGATACTAATCAATCACATAAAAAGTGCAGGAACAAAACTGGCATGCAAGAAGAACATGAAGCAATATTTTCAAAGTATCAAATGAGTATTTCAAATCTAGAATTTTACATAAAACTAAACTATCATTAATTGTATGGCTGACATATACTTTCAGGTGTATAAGCATCAGAACATCACATAAAGACGGCATAAGGAAAACACATATGGGGAGTAAGGTTACTTAAAACTTTGTAAGGTTTGATTGTGGTGGTATTTTACAGCTGTATACATATACCAAAGCTTACAAAATCATACACTTTAAATATTATCATGCAGCTTATCATGTCAATTATATCTCAATAAAACTGGCAACTATCCGATAGCAAAATTTTAAAGAATGCAGATATACATACAGTTTAAAGTAAAATAATAAAAGAAACAGCTGTGCAGCCAATATTTCAGTTATGAAAAAATAATCACATAAATAAATGTAAAACTGCAACTGTTACTAGTGCTATGAAGAAAGGAACAAGTGCCTAGAATGATGGCATTTGATTTATTTGGGGAAGTTAGGGAAAGTTTTCCCTGAAAAAGTAATGCCTAATCTGAGATAGTTGACTAACAAAAAAAACAACCCTTACATAGTAATGCTATGTGCTAGGTACTATTTTACATGCTTTGTGTGTAATACTAACCCATTTAATCCTCAAGCATTGCTCTGGATTGAGTCTTTTATTACCTCTGTTTTACACAAGAGGAAATTGAGGCACATAATAGTTAAGTACCTTGCCCAAAGTCACAAAGCCAGGAAATAGTAGAACTGGGGTTATAAACCAGAGTACTCTGGTTCTAGAGTCCACACTCTTAACTGCAGAATGAAAAGCGAAGAGAGGAGAAAGATTACAGGCATATGGAATAACACATGAAAATATTCTGTGGGCTTGGTGAGCATGCAGGACTCAAAGTAGGCCAGTGTGGCTAGGGCAGCGAGGAGTGCAAAACTTGAAGATACCTCTGCGGATGAAGGAGAGGCCCATCATGCAGAACCTTCTGAAACAGCTTGTAGAATTTTGTCTCTATTCTTAGAGTGATGTAACACCATTAAGTATTTCAAGTAAGGGCTAATAGGAATTTTGAAGATATTATTCTAGTTTCAATGTGATAAAGAGATTGGACAGATAGCTAGAGTGGATGTGAATAAACTAGTTACTGCAGTAGGACCCATGAGAGATGTTGGCAGTTGGGACTAAAGTGGTGGTAGTGAAGACAGAAGAATGAATGCATTCAAGAAATATTCAAGAGATAAAATCAACTGGACTTGAAGTAATTCAGAGACCAAAATGGGGAAGAAGGTGAAGGGGTCAAGAATGACTCCTAAGTATTTGTGCACTATGGATGATGGTACCATTAATCAAGAAAGTGGAACCTGGATGAATAATAGGCATGGAGTATATCAGTGTATTTGGTTGCAAGCAATGGAAATCAACTTTAGCTCTCTGTGTTTGTTTGTCTTTCCATGAAAGCAGAACTTAAGATAAGGAATTGGGACAACTAATTAGGGATTTGATACCAGAAAGCAGGGTTGATGGAGGGGGAAGAGTATGATAGAGGTGAAAAGCCAATTTAAAGGTGTCTTACCAAATTAGTACTGTGCACAATGCTTGCCACCAGGACATTCTGGAAGTATATGCAATATCCACCAGAATTATCTGCCCAAAGATCAAGAAGAAGAAACATTTTTCCATCTTCTGTCTTCCCTCATTGGTTAAGGGTTCCCCCGGGAGCGTTAGCCCCTGTACTTTTCAGTTGTGTTGTTTGTGAGCAGACGGACTGCAGCAGCATCAGAGAAGGCTCTGGAGCAGAAGGCTGAAAACAAGTGGCTCCTGCTTAGTAACACTGTCAGTGAGGAGAGTACGGCCTTGCACAGGAATGTTCACCTCAGCTGCAGCTGAAATCAAACACAGGTTAAGAAGATGTGCTATAGAACACCAGGGCATCATATACCCTAGCTTAAAAGAAGTAACCTAAACAAAAGCAGTTTAGGAGTTTACAGAATGGAGGTAAGGTTGTAAGAACAGAGTTGGAAAACGGGCAAAAACCAAGGTCATTCTGAGACAAAAGCAAGAAGAGCTACAACCATCTATTCACAGACAAAGTCTGGCAAGTGAGCTATTGTCACCAGAGGACACCACTGCTGCCACAGCTAGACATCACTGCCACACTGCTACTGTGCAGGATAACCTTCCCTATGTTAAGATACTTTAAAAGCAATGACTGTCACCACCCCTTAGTCTTTGTCTTTAAATCTTGTTTCAGACACAAGGTCCTGGCAGGAGTGTCTCAAAGGTGGGGTCTAGATCATGTGCCCATGTTTTGATTAGAAGAAGATGTTGGGGGGAGCTAGCCTCTAAGGCTTCTAAGCTTACAATCAGTGGAAACCACCCTTTGCCCCCAAAGGAAAAGATGGTCACTGGGTTAAGAGCCTGTGTTCAGTTTTGGCTATGTTGAGACTGAAACATCTGAAGTAAGACATCAAGCAGGTCTGGAGAGTATAATCTAATAGCCTCCTGTGTGAAAGCTCCTTAGCTCAGGAATAACTTGTTCACCCATCACTTACACAGGGTCTCTTACATTTGACAATCAATAAATGTATGCTGAAAGAAATGAATGGTCCTACCATGTTACATTCTGTTCTCTGAGCCTCCCTATATTTTGCATGATGTCCCTATACCTGGAATGGTCTTTTTTCACCCTCTCTACCCAGTTAGAACCATTAAATTTTATCCAGTCTGTGTTGAAGAATGCAGTCTCCTCATGTTAAAGCTACCCCTTCATGCAACTTTAGTGATTTCCCAGACAGGTTGTGATTGTCCCCACCTTTGAAACTCCCTGGTAGGTTATTTACACAGATAGTGTCTAATATATCCTTTCTTCTCATTTTACCCATTCTTCTTGAACAAATAAATATCTTTGTCTTGAAGCATACCTTCTGGCTTGCTTTTAAAGTATCTTAACATAGGGAAGGCCTTATACATATGAAAAAACTAATGAGAACTGACAACTGGAAATAAAATATGCTCAAAAAGAAAGTTGACAAGTATTTTATCAGTAGTCCTGCAACTCGTCATAACTTAAAGTGAATATATGAAGAAAGGACAAAACAAATCTTACAACATAATTTTTATAATTGAAATAAAGGAAGTTAGACATACTCCTTCATTTAGACTTGGAAGTAAAACCTAAGAAAAGAGTTAGCTGTTGAGAAATATTATGTGTGATAAGGGAAAGAAAAGAAGAATGTGAAAAAATAAATGTAAATACATATAAATATATTACCATAAAGCCTTGCATGAGGAAAATTATTCATTAGAAGGTGTCAGATATTGTGAAAACTACTGAGTATAAGTATCACAAGTATCTTCAGGCAAATAATCAATGATATTGTGAAATTTTACTTGAAGCAATGGTATTATTAATTATTATAAGAAAATTAGCCTAGGTAAGCCGATACAATAACATCAAAGTCTTTACATCAGAACTATGATAAAAGTCAGCTTGCATAATAAATAGGATAAAGGAATTATGAAAGTAAGACAAATTGGAAATTGGAAATAGGATGTCTTACTGTGCAACTCAAAAGTCTTTTCCTAAACTGTTATAATTAGAAGCTGACTGATATTTGGAGGAGATGGATCAACTCTGAACCTCTCAAGGCAATGACAGGCATAAAACTCCAGAGTTCTGGTGCCAGTGAAGCATGGAAGAGACGACTAGAATGTCCTGCCCACCCTAATCAGAATTTTTTAAATAGTCTACTTACGCATAAGAGTACACAGCTTTCTTCCACAGACACAGAAGGTAGTCCCTAGTGAATAAATATTTTTCTGTATGTGCCAAGTGAAATTTTATTAGGTACTTGGTCTAAATATTTTCTGTAACAACTCATCTCCAATCTTAGAGTGGAAGTCAATTGAATATAAATTCCTGTATCATTTAATTTGGAAGAGATACTAAATATTATCTAGCCATGTTCTTTTTGACAAATGAGGAAACTGATCTAAGCAGTGAAGTTAATAAATTTAATAAACAGAAAAAAATAGCTTGAAAAGTACCTAGCAGAACATGTAACCTATTAGTCATTCAATAAGTAGCATTTATTAGTATTATTATTAATATTGCCATTTTGGGTAAATACTGTTATGTTAATAACTACCATATATTTTTCTTCAGTGAGTTGTATATGCCATATTTTGGTCTAGGCTTAGAATATAAAAATCACCTTCACATTGAGCAGAGTATTAAGAGCATTAAACTTGGGAAGGTAGCCTGACATATGAGCTAGAAGATATTTCTTCTCAGCATCCTTTCCTTTGTAGGACCCTCACCCATTCCATATGAATATTTTCAGTCCATGTAAGGCAGGTAGGACTTCTGTGACTCAAACAAAGCAAATCAAAACTCTCCAGATGATCAGAGATTTCATATTTGGTCACTAGGAGTAATGGAATGTTATCTGTTTCTGAAAAATGACTTGTAAGATGAAGTAGATGTGGAGCCAACAACAGGCATCTTTCCATTATGATATTCTCTTTCTGAGAATAAGGTCAGGCAGAGATGGACAACCTGAGGAAGATAAAGTCCTAAGGACATCATTTCAACCATTGTATCTAGCTGTGCCTTAAAGCTCTAGCTCCTCCCATTGAAATTTCCACATATGTGAGCCAGAAAAACACATTTTCAATGTAAGCTTGTAGAAGTTTGAGTTTCTCTTGTTTGCAGTCAGAAGATCCTAACCCTTAGTGCAGGTAGTACATAACATTTATTGCTATTATTTAACAACTATTCAGCACCAATAACACATTGTACAAAGTATTGTATAGTATAAAACCTATGTTTAGTATCACAATTCCTATCATCTAAGAACTTACCATTTAAATTAGGGCATGATAATGAGAAACATATTCATTCATTTGCCAGGAAATACGTAGTAAATAAAAAGGGAAAGGTTATGATACTACACTGATCCAGTGATTCTCCTCAGACCTTGCCCTAAACCATTCAGAGGAAAATCTGCAGTTATTTTGCTAGTATGAAAAAGGTAGAACAACATCCAATAGTAGGATAACTAGATTACCATATATTCATAAAACTAAAATACTAACAGCAATAAATGAACCATAGCTTCATATGTTCATATAGATGAATCTCAAAAACACAATGTTGGCTGATAGAGCAATTTCAGAATACTATGAAAACATAAACACTTAACAATACACCATTAGAAATACATGCAGATACAGTAAAACTATAACGAAAAATGAGAAAATGGTAAATTAATATTCAGAATAGTAGTTAATTTTTGTAGAAAGGGAAGAGGATGTGATTGGAGAGGACATACAGGTGTTTTTAGAGGCATGGTTAATGTCTGTTGCTTAATCTGTGGTTCTAATGCCTAGGCCTATTCCCATTGCTGCTATCACCATTTACCACAGATTTAATAGCTTAAAACAATATGTATCTACTATTTTACAGTTTGGAAGTTCAGGAACCTGAAATGGGTCTTATGGATCAAAAATCAAAGTGTTGGCAGAGCTGGGGTCCTTCTAGGACCAAGGGGAGAATAAATTTTTGGCTTTTCCACCTGAGGCTGCAACATTCCTTGATTTCTGGCCACAATGCTCCAATCTCTGCTTCCATCATCACATCTCCTCTTGACTGACCTACCTGCCTCTGTCTTATAAAGATATTGTGATTACATTAGGCCTACAAGCAAAACCCAGATAATCTCTTAATTTAATAAAATCTGCAAAATCCCTTTTACCATCTAAGATAAAATATAACACATGTTCCAGGGATTAGGACATGGACACCTTGGTGGGGGGCTGGGGGGTATAATTTGTTTTTATCTGGGTGTTTGTTTTAATCTGTATGTCTTATTTACATATTATATATATTTGTAGTAGATGCTGTGGTGTGCCACCCAGATCTCTGTTGAGACATAGGACACTCATTCCCCTAGCTTCTAGGGAAGTTGGCAGCTGAGAATTCCCAGTTGAGTCCTCTCCAGGAATTGCCCCTAACCATAGTCAGCTCACCAAGGCCTTGCCCTGTCCCCAGAAGCAGCCTGCTACCCATGACTGGTAGAGAGAGGAGTATAAGACCCCGTCTCCAGAGCTGCTCAACTCCTTCCTCAGCCCAATCTTTACTTTCTTGTCTCCCCCTACAGGCTCTCATTGACCCCAAGAGCATGCCCCAGTAAATTCCCTGAGCATAAGTCTCTTTCTCAGACTGTTTCTTGATCTAAGCATTATTTTAAAAAGATAAAATATTTCATGATCATTTTTAAAAATTTAAATTAGTAAGGAGTAAATAAATTCAGAAACAAAAACAAGATGAACTGGAGTAAAAAGAAGCTAGAAGCACACAGTTCTTGGATTAAGGAATTAGCAGAGAACTTTGAAAGAATTAGATCAACATTTCAAAATAGTTTTCATTAAGAATTAGCAACTGAACTATCCAGGGTTAGCACTTTTGATGTAGAACTTAATAACTAATTTAATTTAGAACAAACACTCTTAAGTTAGAACTTCTGGATTTAGTACTAACTGTGCTTGCTTCTTAACTCTGCTTTGTGGTCTCCTTATTATGACATGAAGCACCCCTAATTTCTAATCTAAAATAATTCTAAAAGTCTTTTAATCCAGTCATAAGAAATATAATTTATGCCAGTTAGAATACCTGAAAAATGAGAGCAGAAATGAAACAAACAGTTTGATTTTGGAAAAACCTCTCTCTTTGTTCTGAGAGCTATCAGGTACTCAACATGGTTCCAATGCTCTAAAAGAATAAGCATGGAAAAGTCTAGTCTTCCACAGTCAGTGGTAATTTAAAATCTGTATCTGACTGCTCCCTACTGACAAAAATCTGAATAGGTCCTGACTTTCATAT